TTAAATTTGTTAGTTTTTGTTTGAGTCAAATTTAGAATTGAAATTTTAAGAATACAAACCAAGCGTTCAAAAAATAGTAAATTTTTTATTTTTAAATTAGACGCTCGAAATCCTTTTTTCCCTTTTTAAACAGATACTAAAATTCAAAGTTTAAATTAGTTAGTTTTTGTTTGATTCTAATTTAGAATTGAAATTTTAAACATACAAACCAAGCATTCAAAAAACATTAAATATTTTGTTTTTAAATTAGACGCTCGAAATACTTTTCATCATTTTTAAACAGATATTAAAATTTAAAGTTTAAATTAGTTAGTTTTTGTTTGAGTCAAATTTAGAATTTAAATTTCAAAAATACAAATCAAGCGTTCAAAAAATAGTAAATTTTTTGTTTTTAAATTAGATGCTTGAAATCCTTTTTATCCTTTTTAAACAGATATTAAAATTTAAAGTTTAAATTAGTTAGTTCTTGTTTGAGTCAAATTTAGAATTTAAATTTGAAAAATACAAACCAAGTGTTCAATGCATTATAATGCGTTTTTTTTTTATAAATTGTTAATATTAGGTGTTTCGAATTTTGAGATGCATCAACAAATTAGAAATTCTTTTACCCTTTTGTATTATTATTATGTTTTGAATTTTTTTAAAAAGAATTGTGGAATATTCACTTTTTAAAAGGATATTGATTTCAAGGCTAATTATGATAAATTTAATTAGAAGATAAAAATCTTCATATACCTGTATTATATTTTGGAATTGAAGAGCCATCAATTTATCTTCTAGTTCATATTCTCAACATGAGCATACAAAATAGAGCTTTTCTGTTATCAAAAAAAAAAAATAGAGCTTTTAAATGCCTAATTAGATTGAATTAGGCTAGGCACTTATACAATAGGCACAAACAAAATTAAAAAAAGTAGAAGGATAAATTAATAGTGATAATTAAAGCAAAAAATTCCTAAAAGAAAAATTGCTTTGAAATATGTTGCTGGGTTGCACTGGTCTAGCATCTGACACACTTCAACATTCTTTGAAGAAATAGATGATGGTTTCACGAGGGTCAAAGTAGTAGTATCATTCCTATCCAACTCATCTCTCTCATCGTCACGGTAAGCATATCTGTCAAGAATAGACATAAATTAAAGAACATCAACAACAATGCGAAATAAATTATGTATGGAGAGGAAGAATAGAAGGGAAAGCTCATCTTGCTCTTACAGACATTAAAGATAGAAAATATAAGAACTTTAAGATAAAGGGGAAATTTTTACCGTTTTGAATTTTGAGATGGTGCTCAAAAAGTACAGATAACACACAGGAGAGAAAAAGACAGAATTGCCAAAAGGCTGGGACGATCCACGCATTATGCCATTGCTCGTTGTATACTTTAAAGTTAAGACATTTTATTATATCATTTCATTTATTCATGATATTAGATTATGCAGAAAATACTTGTAGAAGAAAAACAAATAGAGAAGAATGTCATACCTTCCTCTAAAGAAGTACAAAAACAATATCCCAATGATTCCAAATCATCTCGTCGGTTTTGTTCTACAACAAAATTGCAAAAAAAAAAGTAAAAATATTACATATTCATGTGATAGAACAACAATATGAGAAGATGAAGAAGATAAACACATAGATAAGAGAAGAAATATGTGCACAGAAGTTAATTACCAAATGAAAAAATCAATAACACAAATCCTATTTATACACAAAATATTTGCATTTTTTACAAAATATTTTTGTTTTTTTAATGATTATTTTTAATAAAAAAGTAATGGGATAATAAATGAGCTGTCAGCCACCAACAATTGTTCAAATATTTTTCCACCCTTTAAAATTCAAATTCAAATTCAAAATTCAAATTTAAAATTAAAAATCCAAATTAAAAATTGAAAATCAAGATTTCAGAAAGTAGTGAGACATTAAATGAGTTGTCTACCACCAACAATTGTTAACATATTTTTTCAATTGAATTTAATTACAAATTCAATTTTATTTAATATATTTTTATTTTTATTCTTTTTTACCTAAGAAGAAAAAGTTTTAAATATTTTGTAATGTGAACACAAAGCTAAAAGTGAAGAAGAAAATGACACGTTAGCAAATTTGTCAAAGAATGAGTTTCCTTTAGAATATTAGATTGGTTTGACCGAATTCCATGAAAGGAAAATATCTTTGGTGCCACCGTTTATTTATTCTAGGATATGTGGATGGATCATGTACAAATATTTAGATACTCAGATCCTAGTATAAATGAATTATCTATTAAAATTTTTCTCCAGTGCAAGAGCTTTTAACGAAGTTGCTGGAGTCTGATCTTATCGGAAAAAAAAAAAAACAGAAATTCTATTTTTATGTTGCTGAAAAAAGAATTTTATGTTGCTGAAAAAAAATTGCAAAAAAATAATAATTATAATATTAAAGCTATTTAGTTTTTCTCTCTACTTAGATATTGTCGGCCGATGTGGTGAAGGAAAAAAAATTATTTATCATTATAAATATATATTACCTATAATATATAGTTATAATTAAGGGTATAACATATGTTGAGCCTATCAAACCTATTAACTCATTAAAAGCTTAATTTAAAATTTAGGCCTGACCTATTATTAAAAAAAAAAAACCTGACATGTCCTATGAGGCCTTTTAGGCCTACCAAGTTGCAAATTAAGCTAAAATAAAAAAAAAATGAAATGTCTCATTCATTAAACAATATTTCTAAAAGGGTCCAAATTATAAAAATTCTCAAACATATTTTTTAAGAATACAAGTTTTTAAATAATATTCATGACAACAAAGATATGATAAATATTAAGGTTACTAACTTTTAGAATAAATAAATAAAATATATGTTAAATATTTTTTTTTTTAAAATTAAATAAGCCAGCTTATAGGTTAAAAGGTCAGGCTTTTCATGTAGGCCTTATTTTTAAATAGGCTTCTCTACAAGCCGCAACCTATTCTAATTCCCTAATAGGTCAAGTTATGTCGAACTTAACATATACTAGATTATAGGTCTCTCTATGTCGATATGACCTATTTACACCCCCTCGTTATAATGAGTTGCTCGAGATAACTTTTTTCCCGCCACACCAGAAAAATGGATTAAAAAAAAACATGAAAAGGAAGTGTTCAGACGGTAGAAAATGACAACTCCTCTCCTTGGTTAATGGCCTCTTATGTTGGGTAGGAACCCAACTCTAATTTTCCAGCAATATCAACTCTTCTAAATCGAACATTAATTTCAACGATGTGATAAATGACTAGCTGGGATAAAAATAGATGACCAACACATCCGTATAAGAAGTTTTTCTCCTCATTTTCCATATTATGTCTACATATAAAATTATGATGTTAAATAAATCAATAAAATCATCAAATCAATTAGACAAGATTTCAGTATTTTTTATTATTCTTTCTGAGAGAAAAAAAAAATCCTAATATTTGCAGTCTCGTGACTCAAATTGGATAACTCTCAAATAACTCAAAGGAAAAGAAGGGATCTACATATATATTGCACCAACACCGACACGAGAGACAGGATCCGATATGACACTCTAATACATTAATTCTAAAAAGTATTACATTTCGACACGTTAAGACACATTTTGATATTAAATAATATTTTAATTTGTGTAGTGTATATTATATTTAATATTTAATAATTTAATGAAAAAATAAAGCTAAACTTATAATACCCATAAATTTTGTAAAAAAACATAAGATATTACAAATATTTATATTAAAATCAATAAAATGATAATTACAATCCAACGAATCTAACAGTTGAACTAAAACTGCAACGTTACACAACCCTTTGAAACTTTTTTGAGTCTCTGTAACGTGTGTTAGAATAAGTGTCGGATATGACACGTCGGATTTTTTGAAGTATCGATACATAGATCCACACCCTCTTTTATCCGGAAGAAAATTTTAATTTATCTGAATTTTTTCGAATATTTTATTAGCTAAAAATTAATAAGGCTTGTTTCATAATTCATAAGTAGAGTAAAACGTCTAGTACTAGGCTACTAGCAAATGAAAAGGAAAATTGTATGGATTAGACTTTAGACCAACGAGGATTAACTCTATCGTAGATTCGTAATATAAGGTCCCTGACTCAACCTCTGCTTTACCAAATCAAAAGTGTATGAATTAGAATCAAGTGTACCAAAAAAAAAAAAAAAAAAACTTCTAAATCCATGGAAATAGGCCTATTTTTATTTTAGGAAATTAAAAACAATCATATTCGGATGAAGCCTAATTTTGGTTGTCACGCACGTGGAAGAAATTTTCTCCAAAGTTCGTTCTCATAACTTTAGAAAACTCCAAATTCAGATCCAAAAGTTGTGATGGAAATTAAAGTTAATGGCCCTTATCAGATTTTGTAATGTAGCTAAAAAAGAGTATGTTGCAAATAAACCATCCAATAGCCATACCTCTGCATAATAAAAGCAAAGCAAGCAAATACTACTTTCAAATTTAACCTTAATAAGCAATATAATAGAGAGCACAAAATGATTGGTGAAAACCTTCTAGCTAAAACAAACCAAAACTAAAAAAGAACATTTACAGGAGTTATAAGAGGACATTAAGATCATTGAATGTTTTTCTTCATCCACTTTCCCCACTCAAAAATGGTACGAATAATTTTTATCATGTGTTTTTAATTGTTAACCAAATCTCATTTGATGATACTTTTTTTTTTTTTTCTTTTCTATGAACTATTGGGCTATCACATCTAATCTTAACTGGGAATTTGATAGTTTGTTCTTTGCATGACATATCTCTTTCAGATTCTTCTGCTCTACATGTGTAACTAAAGGGTTACCAAATCTCCTTAATGAGATTTCATTTCTGAGTATTTGAAATTCTCCACAAAACAAGACCACCTTTGTTGAATGGTTATTGTTGATTTGCTATTACTGTTGCCCATTTAGATAAACAAGAAAAAGGGAGGATTTAAGGATTGCAATAAGTTATGTTCAAAAAGGGATATGGAGAATCATATGGAGGGTGTGCACTGGTGCAACATGTGCTCTAAAATGGTGAATCCAATGACTGAAGCTGAGAACAAATGTCCATTCTGTGAGACAGAATTTTCTGAGGTAATGGACAACCTAAGGGACCAGAATGAAACTGTTGATATAAGATCAGCTTGGGTGTTCTCACTTTATGCCCCAATCTTTCTAGGCTTGATGGGTGCTTTTAGCCCTTCTCTTGCAAGCATTGGTTCACAAGAAAGTAGCAGTTCAAGAGTTGAGGAAGAGGTTGAACAAGAGAGGGAAAATGAACTTGTACTTGGGGGAAGGAGAAGAGCCTCAACAACTCCTATGATGCATCTCTTTAGGGGTCTTCATGTTAGGATGGTGTCTGAATCTGAGAACCAAGAAAACAATAGGAACTTAGATAGCAGTATACTTGTCATTGATTCATTCAATGAAGGGGCCTTGATTGTTAGAGGTCCTAACTTGAACCACACAAGTAGTCCGAATGAGAACATTGTTGGTTCCTTAAATGACTTTCTTGTAGGATCTAGCTTTGATTTGTTGCTACAGCATTTGGCACAGAATGTCCCTAGTGGATATTCAAGTGTAAACCCTCCAGCACAGAAGGCAGCAATTGAAGCAATGCCTAGTGTGACTAGTGAGGAAAAGTTGCAGTGCACTGTATGTTTGGATGATATTGAGATTGGGAGTGAAGCCAAGGAGATGCCATGTAAGCATAAGTTTCATGGTGATTGCATTGTCTCATGGCTAAAGCTCCATAGTTCTTGTCCAGTTTGCAGGTTTCAGATGCCTTCTGAGGATTCAACTGTTGAAGCCATTTTGGGAATTGGAAATGGGGACACTCAGAACAGTGAGCTAGTCAGGGCTAGAGAAGAGAGAACTAGAAATGGAAGGAGGCATTGGTTTCCTATGCTGCAGTCATTTAATAATTTTCTTCCTTCTCCTTGATCAATATTTTGTTAGGGTTCTAGTGTCTCTCACCCTCATCAGGCATCAACAGCTATATCTAGACACTGTCATGCTTCTTAAATTCTTCCTAATTGTGTATATGTTTTAGACTGCCTAGTCTGACTTTATTGTACCATTAAAATATGTATATATTTTTTAGTTTTCAATATTTGAAAATGCTGAATAAATTTTAATAATGTTTTATGTAAAATGTCAATTTAATCCAAAAGCTTAAGTTATTAGGTGAAGACTATATAATGATTTTATATATATATATTTTTTAACATGTCCCCTCACACAAGAGTTCATTGGGTTTGAAGGGTGGACAATGCATTAGGCCCCACCTACTTGTGCTAAAAAACTTCACGATATTTATTAATAGAATGGAGGTAGTAAAAATCGAACTTCGTTCTGCATTGGTCAAGGAAACTTTAATATCATGTAAATAATTATTTTAACTCAAAAACAAAAATTGTTAGGTGAATGGTACATTAATGATTTTATATTATATTTCTCTAGTATTTTCAACTCAAGATGAATGCACTTTTTATCTTTACCAATCCAAAAGAAAATGAACATGGTGCCAATCTTCAATTCCCATAAGGGATCATCTTCAATCAAGTCAGATACAGGACAAAAAGCTATTTTATGAAACTTGAATGAGTAAAAAAGTTAAAACAAGTCTAACAACAAGAAGGAAAATTTAAAAGAAAACAACGCATTGGTCCTAGTCTTGAGTCTTCTTCAGTTGACATCCAATATCTTGATCAAAGTAGCAGATTCAACTCGGTGCAATGCTACAATAGAGTCTCCAGGCTTGCACAGCTCATTTTTCTTTGCATATTGAAGAGCAAACTCTATGGTTTCTTCTGTTGATTCACTCTGGGAAGCTCCACAAGAACCTGTGCCCAAAACAGGTATCAGGCCACGGTAAATAAGGCTATGCCTTGCTGGGTATTCCTCACTGCAGAACCAGTCTAAAGAATCTGTTGTTATCTCAGGAACTATCACTGACAAAATTGGCATGCTTGGTCTGTACTTTGCAACCAGCTTTGCTGTGGTTCCACCTCTAGTTAGAACTAAGATAAGAGCTGCATTGCTGCAACTTGCAGTCCTAACTGCCGCAGAAGCCATACTTTCTAATGGACTCATTGGAGATAAAGCTGTTTCCATCTTTGTTTTGAACAGTTCATCATAGTTTATAAAATTTTCTGCTTCTGAACATATTTTAGCCATGGTTTGAACAGCAATGTCTGGATAAGCTCCTGCAGCAGTTTCCCCACTAAGCATAACACAATCTGTGCCATCAAGAACTGCATTTGCAACATCAGTAGCTTCAGCACGGGTAGGCCTTGGAGATTTGATCATAGACTCCAACATCTGAGTGGCAGTCACCACAGGCTTTCCTTGTAAATTTGACTTATGTATCATAACTTTCTGAGCAAGAAAGATCTTTTCAATTGGAATTTCCATTCCCAGGTCACCTCTTGCCACCATAAATGCATCTGAATTTGCAAGTATCTCATCAAAATTGGCAATGCCCTCTTGATTTTCAACCTAACATAAACAACAAGAGAAATAAGTACAAGCTTGAATATTAATCAATGTAATATACTGATTTATTTTGCAACTCAATATATTTTTTTGTCCTGGTAGGTAAAAGTTCAGATTAGGGGAAGACACTCCCCATGTAAGGCCAGAGAAGACCAACAACCTCACTGAGGGTTTATGGTGAGATTACATATCGCGCCAAAGAGGGAAACCAGAGAATCGAACCTGAGACACGACTAACGTCGGCAGAAGATTCGACAAGTGTGCCGACCCTCATCGGCATAAAGTAAATATAATTTTGCTTAGAAAGTTGACAACAAGAATACCTTGGACATGAGAAGTATATATCTTGCATGCTTCCCTAGTAGATTTCTAACCTCCACAAGGTCTGAACCTTTGCGAACAAAAGAGAGAGCAATCATGTCAATCTTATTAGGAATACCCCATTCCAAAATGTCCTCCTTGTCCTTCTCAGTCAAGGTTGGAAGATCAACAACTACTCCAGGAAGGTTAACATTCTTTCTCTCACCCAGAACTGCAGAATTTTCACATCTACAACGAACCAAGCCATTCTCCTTGTCACATTCAAGGACAGTGAAACTAATTGTCCCATCAGCACAAAGAACATTACTTCCTGGATTCAAATGATGAGCGATCTTCTTGTAGCTCATACTGATCATGTTCTCATCACCTTTTATGCTATAATCAGTTGTGATCGTAATTTCTTGTCCTCTTTCGATTTTTATGGGCTTCCCATCTTTCAGAAACCCTGTTCTAATCTCTGGACCCTGTAATATTTCGAACATAAACACAAATATATATTACAAAATCATTCTCAAACCATGACTAAGATAATGAAGTTCTCAATGAAGCATCACCAATTCCACCAAGCACCTCAAAAGAGTATCCCCAAAAAGATAATTTCACAAATTTGAAAACTTTGCATATTTCTCAGAAGATTATGGATACTGGGCATAGGACTATATACAAAACAAAATCCAAAGTCCTTTCTTTGTAGATATATATCATATTTTTTAATAATAATTATAATAATAAAAGCTATTGAAAACAAAAGATGCATATATACCCAGACGAAGAAACCTTAAAAAGAACATTAAAGAGAGAAAAAGAAACCTTGAAAAGAACATTAACTTGAAAAAGAATTTGAATTAACAACAAAACATACATAACAGAAAGAGTAATAAGGACAGAAGAGCATAGATAATATTGTAAAGTTCAAACCTTGGTATCCAACATTAGAGCACAAAGAATGCCTGTGTTATTCATTGCAGTTCTGAGATTATCAAGGGTCTCTTGGTGGTAAGAATGAGAACCATGAGAAAAGTTGAAGCGAGCCACGTTCATCCCTGCATTCAGAAGCTTCTCCAACATCTCCACTGACCTACTTGAAGGTCCCAATGTGCAAACTATCTTGGTCTTTGGCTTCATACTCTTTCTCACCATAGCTCCACCTTCTAGCATCTTTTCCATGGATACTGTTGAGATATGAACACAATGTATGAAAAATAAGAAAGAAGTTAAAGAAGACAAAAAAGGGGTTTTGAAAGGGTTTTTCTGAGAAAAACTTTATGTCCCACAAGGAATATATAGGTACATGGCATGATCAAGATTCTGGAAAACTTGTTTGAGAAATTAGCGTTTGCTTGAAATCCAAGCAATTTATTTGTTTTTATAAGACAAATATATTTGGACGATCAACTTTAGATGGTTTAAACTTTAAACATGAAATAGAATATGCTCTTAAAATACCTGAATAAAAATAAATAAATAAATTGAATATAATAAACAATAAAATTTATTACCTCAATAATCTTTATAGAAATAGAGGACTTGGAGCAGAGAAGTGAAACAAAACGATTGTTTATAAGCAACAGGGAAATTTCGTAGTTGTGCTTTATTAGTTAGTACCCTTGTCGAGAGGTGGTATTTATAATTATGATTAGTAATAGGTTTGTTTTTTCTAAAGTTATTTTCATGTTTTAAAACTCCATCCACCTCCCAGGTTGACCCGGGTCAACCCTGATTCCTCTCCTCTGAGGGTTGGGGTCTCAAGTTGGACTTTATATGCACATTGACTCCTCCGACCCCCAAAATCCGGCCAGGTTTCAGTGACTCCCGGGTCAGAGGGGTCAAAGGGGATCACTGCATGTTTTTTTTTAAAGAAAATTCCATGAAACAACGTTGATTTATTAAAAAATAAAAATAAAAATACTTACAAACCTAAATCTAATCGTTCTCTTCTCTCCAAACGACCTAGACTTGTGGTATCTTGATAATTTGGTATCATTAGAATATGAGTTTTGTACTTTTGTATCTTGATACTTTAATTAGGTTGTGTAATATTGACTTGTGGTTATAATTGGTGAATTATGTTAAGGATATTTTGAATCTTTGGTGATTGGTGATTTGCTTTTTAATATTTTCATATAGGATATATATATTTATATTTTTTCAATATATAAAACCGGGTCAGCGTAGTGACCCCGTGACCCCCCGGTTGAACCCGTGACCTCGTGACCCCTGACCTCGACCGGGCCGGGTTTTTAAACACTGGTTACTTTAGATAACTTTATCTAATGTACATCGAAATGACATCGTTTTAGGGCAGAAATCATGGTGTTTTCATAATTTTAATTTATTTCAAGGTTATAATAGTCTTTATCATTCTAATTTTTTAATTTTTTAACCCCAAAATGACGTCGTTTCGATGAACATTAGACAAAGTTATCTAAAGTAACTTTTCTAAAGTAAATGAAAAAATATCCATATAAAGATAACATGTCAAAAATATCACACGAAGTCTCACTCTAAATTTATTTTATTTTTTCAAAAAATAACATTGTCATTTTTAATTTTATTTTTAAAAAAATTGAAAATAAAAATTCTCTTTCAATTAATTATATTTTTTTTAGTGTGTGTATGTTTATGTGTATATATTAAAAAAAAATAACTCAATTAATGGGATTCAAAATTCAGTAGATTTGTTTCAAAAAAAAGAAGAAGAATTCACTAGATTTTTTTTAATGTACTGGTGTTGTTAACAATAATCAATAGCATGCTTTTGACTTAATGACATGATGTTCTCTTTTAGTTTTAATTCAGTTATAATTGATGTTGATGGCATGATTTTGGCTTCGAGATATAATGTTCTCGGTTATTAGTTATTAAGGTTCAATTTTAATTTATTTCAATGACATATACTCTGACTTAATGACATAATATTTTCATTAATAATAATTTTGATATTTTATATAATAAGAATATTTTTGGATAATTAAGAGATGTACGTTATAATCATAATTAATTTAAGTGATAAATTTAATATCACGCTAGATTGAGTGATGTATATTATAATCACATGATATGAGAGCGAATTGTTTTCCTTTTATCTAACACAAACCTACCTTTTATACAAAGTCCAAAATGCCCTTGAGAGAAATAGGAGTTTATTTCTTTTCCCAATGATGAAAATACAAAACAAACATTTTAAAAGTTCAATATAGAAAAATATAAAAATCAAAGTATATAATAGTAAATTAATTTACAATGAAATTGAAAACAGAATCAATTATAAAGCTATCCTTTGCCTCCGCTTTCGCTTTACCTTAAATTATGTTGGCACAAAGGAATGGAGAAGTGAAGTGGGCATCTGTAACTGTTGTTGCACTTTCATAATTAATTTTATATCTTATATTTCCAATCATTCCAAGAAAAAGAAAATCCTTTTTTTTTTAATTTAGTATTTAATTCAAGTGTCTCCCTGAGACAAGGGATTGAAGAGCACGATAACAGTGCATGCATAAAAAGAGTGAAAGCCCTATTTGGTTGCAATGTTCTTCCGTAGTTTTTTTTTTTTTCCCTCACGCAGAAAGGCATCTTTTTTATGCTCACATGGAGGGCATAAGGCACAAGCGCCCGGATATGTCTTCTTTAATATTTCATTCTTTTGCAAATGGTATGGCGCAGAACTATTTGCATGTTTTGAGCCACTAACAAGGAATCATGCAACTAGAACAGAACTTCAAAAGCATTCAACATGCTAATGCTAGCATCTAATCAATGCCGGAGTTAGTTTTTTTTTTTTATGGGTTAAATTATATATATTTTAAAATTTATAATTAAAATAGAAAAATTATATAATTGAATAAAAATACTCTGTTGAGATATAAAAAACCATTAATGTAGCCTCACCCAACAGTTCTTTACATGGTATCAGAGTCTCGTGTTCCGGATTCGATCATCGCCGCCCCCCACTTTCTTTCAAGTGGAATTTCTTTGTTCGCACAGGTAGGTGGGCCTGTGCATTGTCTACATTTCAAGCTCAGTGGGCTCTCTTGTGAGAGGGTGTATTAAGATATATAAACCATTAATATAACCTCACCAAAGCTTAAGCTTTTGGGTTGAATTTGTTATTTACATACTCATAGTACATAAATCACAATACGATATAATATAATGGTAATAAAAATATTCAAATAAATTATATTGATATTTATATCTGATACACATAAAATCTATTTGAAATTAATTAGAATATAGAATAAATTTTATTTTTTTAAATCATAATGCTACTATTCTTATCTTATTTATTTATTTATTATATATTGATATTTAGATAGATATCAAATCTATTTGAGATTGGTTAGAAAACAAAAATTAATTTTATAATTTTTAAATATAATTTTTATTTCAATTTTCAGAATATAATTTTATTCTTCTTATTTGTTTATTTATTTATTGTATATTATTATTTAGATTGACATTAAATATATTTGAGATTTACTATAAGATAAATTAATTTTAATTATTATGTTTAAATATACTTTCTATCCATGTTTACTTGTTCTATATTTTTTCAATACGTTTATATTTTGTATCTGATCAAACCAGCTCAATATGGATTGAGCTAAATCATACACGGTTGAAGGATGAAGACTTTGGGCCTTAAAACGTGTTTCATGGGCTGAAGACGTTCACTGTATAGGTGATGGTTGGTGAAGACTTCTGGCATAATGGAGATGACTGGGGGTACTTGCAAAGACACTCCGACGCTCAAGTAAGTATCAATGCAAGGTTTATGTTATGTTTAATGGGAATCAGATTATCATACATGAGTTTGTGCCCTTCATATTTATAGCAAGCCTTATGCTTAGGGGTGTTCAAAATGTCCAAAAGAACTAAACCGATCCATAACCAAACTGCTCCACATTTTAAAAACCGGTTTCATATGAAAACGCATTTTATTTTATAAACTGGTTATTTACCAAACCATAAAAATAATTGGTTATCCTTAACCAAACTATTTTACAATTAAAGAACAAATAAATATTATCTTTTATCCTTAACATTAAAATGTGAAAATTACATAAATATGAATCATTTTTAAATGTGAGATTATTCGAAAAGACTCAAATACTAACAAAATTTATCGGAGAAAAATATTCAATCGAATATTTTGACAAAAATCATATTACGTAGAAAATAGAGACAAAATTTTTTTTTGTCAAAACTAGAGACAGAACAAGATTTTGTCATAATCACTGACATAAATTTTTGAGGGACAAAATATTTCAGTCAAAATTCTTGATAGAATCTAAATTCCGTCGAAACTTTCGACAGAAACAATTCTGTCAAACTTTTCAACGAAAAATAATTTTGTAAAAAATTTTGACGAAACACATTTTCATAAAAAAAATTGACAGAAAATAATTTCATCAAATTTTTTTACGGAAAATATTTCCGTCCAAATTTTTGACAAAAAATATTTCCAACAAAATTTTCAACAAAACACAACAGTGAAAATTTTGACCAAAAATATTTACGTAAAAAAATTTGACGAAAAATATTTAAGAAATTTTTTCTTATGGAAAATATTTGTATAAGAAATTTCGACGAAATTTTTTTTTGTCAAAGTTCTTTACGAAATCTAAATTTCCTCCAATCATTTCCCTCAAATTTTTGACGAAAAATATTTTTATAAAACATTTTGACGAAAAACATTTTTATAAAATATTTTGACGAAAAACATTTTTGTCAAATTTTTTTATCAAAATATGGTTCGTCATAAAATTTTTAGGAAGATTTTTCATAGAAATGTTTCCATAGAAAATTTTGATGGAAATGTTTTTTATCAAAAAACTTGACGGAAATATATTTTGTCAAAAATTTTCGATGAAAATGTCTTTCGTTAAAAATTTCGACGGAATTTTTTTTGTCAAAAAGTTTAACGAAAATGTTTCCGTCGAAAACTTTCGACAAAATTTGAATTCTGTAAAGAATTTTGATGAATTTTTTTTCTTCTAAAATTTTCGAAGGAAATGTGTTTCGTGAAAAATTGTGATAGAAATTTTTTTTGTCAAAAATTTCGATGAATATGTTTTTTTGTGAAATATTTTGAGGGAAATGTTTTGACGAAATTTATATTCCGTAAAAAAATTCAACAAAAAAAAGTTTCCGCAAATTTTTTTACAGATATGTTTTTAGTCACAAAATTTGAGGAAAATATTTTTCGTCAAAAATTTTTGTAAAAAATTTTG